ATATATATATATATATATATATATATATATATATATATATATATATATATATATATATATATATATATATATATATATATACACACACACACAAAGGTATATGTGTATATATATGTATACACACACACAGCGTGTGTGTGTGTGTATCCATTTATGAATATGACATGTGCCAGTGTATAAGAAAAAATCGAGAAATTATCCTACCCCTCAAAACAAATGAGCACAATTTTCTTTGAAGACACATATGTTTACAGAAAACGAATACTCGTAGGACTATTACATATATCTGCTCTGTTGGCTTTTCCACTTTGCTTTACTTTGTACACTGGAAATAGACAAGAAAAATCAGTTTGCATCAATTCAAATAAAAATATTACCCTTTAATTTACGAAATATACAATAGTAATAAGGCGTCTTTAGTATTTAAGTTGTTAAATCCTTAGCATGATCCTTAGGATCATGCAGCATACACGTTGTCAGATCTTTTGGAACCTTTGTTTAATATATGCCAGGCACAGTCATGTATTACAAAATAGAAAAGGTTTATGATAGCGTTTGATATTAAAGGGGGTTTAGATAAATCCATTTTGAAAAAGACGTAAAATGAAATATTAAAACAAACTCATTATGATCAATATTGAAATATATGCGAGAAAAGCCAAATTTTTTGTTTTCTTTGACGTTTTGTTTCTTTTGAATTTCTCAGCGTAGATTGTCTTTTTAAAATAAATAATTGGTTATGACTGCAATATGGGGACAAATACTTTAGAAACTGTTAAGTTTGGATCACAAAAGAAAAGCGATAACAGCAGTGAGAGTTTTATACCAATTAAACCCTATTTACACCGTCGACTACAGCCCGGCGGGCAGTGGCCGCGGGCTTCTGGGTCAGTCAAAGCCGGGCAGGAACACAAAAGATGGTCGACGGATGTTAAGTGACGCATTTGATGTTTTGTATTTGTGTATAGCGAACTGTCTTAGTAAATTTACCAAGTCTGCGAGAAAAGTTTTCTGTTGTAACCATCCCGCTTTCTGTGGATATGAAATGCTTCGTTTTCTTTGCTCCTTGATAACTGAATTTAACACCAATGTGAGAACAGTAATGCAATTCAGTCCATAATAGACAATGCCATGCTCGAACTGCAATATTGTATGGGCTTTAGTTTTTTCCTCTTTCAGCGAGCTCGGTCAAACTTACACGCCATGTACTCGCCTTCGATGCATCTCTATCGTAGGATTTTAGCCAATTCAGATGGAAACAATGTAGATTAAATGAAATACAAGGGACAGAAAAAAGGAATATGCTGGTAGTTCCACTATTTAAATTTTGTAAGAGACATGCGTCATGATAGTTTTGAACATATCTGAGAAGCTTTACATAAGAATCGAATGCGAGGCAACTTCTATTTAGTTTATAAGTTGGGCATTATAATCAGTGATGCTGACGTTGATTTATTACCTATTCCTTTGTTAGTTTAAGTCAACCTTGATCTAGGGTATCTTTTCCTCGATATCACGTGTTGCTAATAAGGTATATTTAATACAAATCCAAGTTGGCTGGTCGAAATAAGTGTCTTCGAAATCGTATATTTATAAGTTACTCTTTGGTTCCTAATTCCCTGTCTATCGTATGCTTTGTACTTTAATCCCGAGATACACCTGACCAAAGGGAAGCACCAGTTGGACTAGATGTTCTGCCCGTTCGGAACCTCCACCATCTCGTCCCGGAAAAGTCTAGCTCGTCCAACTCGCCCTCCTACGCAGCTGGGCGACCAGGATGAGATGATGTCACAATAACATTTGTTTACAAACAGAGATAATGGCCCGCGTTCACAAGATCGTCGGTAAGTCCTTATTTTGGCTCTAAAGTGTTATTATTCAAGGTTATTTTTGTATAATTTATTGCACATTAAGTTACTAATGTATCAGAGTATAGTTACTTAATAAATACATTATGTAGGTATTGGCGTAAATAATGAATGTTTACTTTTGGAACTGTTGCTAAACAGAATCTTATTGCAATGATATCAACATAAACACTCATACATAAGGTTGATTGACATATGAATGTACTACATATCCATCTCCTTTATATACTTATGGTCACATTTGTTACGTAAAAGGGATGTCTTTGTTTTCGTTTTTTCGCCCATCTTTCCGAAATCGAGTTCCTCGGTCCCCGGTTCTCCACTGAAAATTTCAAGGCCCGACCGTTATTTTTTTTAAGTAGCAGCATTTTCGTTGCCGACAAATATTTTTTTTTCACGTTACCTTAGAAAATTGGCAATTGTGACGCAATAATTAGAGATTAATAAAAAAAAAAAGAATTATTTTCTGAAAGCATATTGAATTTCACGTAAGATGAGACCAACCTTATTTTTTTCGGAATCATTTAAAAAAATCTGGCAAGTGTCCAAGAAACGATAATGAAGAATTTTTTTCATACAAATAAGTATGATATGCCGTTCATATGGAGTATTTTCTTTTCTTTATGTTTTCA